AAAAGGGTTGTGTTCGTAAAAGCTGTCTTGCCCCACAGGGGTCTTTGGGGTTGGTGGGGATTGAACCCCACAGAAACCCCCGGCGTGCGGTGGGGGCTGGGGAATTCTGGGAGTTGAAGTCCACACATCTTCAAGTGGCCAAGGTTGAAAAACACTGCTCTAAATAATTAAGAAACAGAAGTTTCTGAGAAAGTTGTGAGCTTATTTTATAAGCAGCAACATAGCTCAAGTGGCAAGAGAAAATACATTGTTTTGAGCAAGACATTGTTTTCTTGATCTTGCCTAGCTGGGTGAGGCTTGACAGACAGAGAAGTGAGAGGCAGAACCGGTACATACCACACTAAACATTTAGCCAAAATAGAACAGATTACACAAAATATATGTGGCTACCTCGGTCAATGCATGCTATTTTTCTCACTGTGTATTGTTTATAAGGTTATAAAAGCCATTTCTTTGCCAGCCCCAATTTTCTCAACAACTATTAAGTTTAAAACAACCTCAAAAAAAGCGCGGGGGGGGGAATGATCCATACTCGCAATTATAGCCAAAGCAAGTTGGTTTGGTTACATTGCATGTCTCACAGGAGATGGCTTCGTACTGGTTTATGCCTGGAAAAAAAAAAAAAACAAAGATGGCAAATTCATTGGAGACCAATGAAAAAGTGTAATATTTTATATCAAATACACACAAACACACACGTGCTATGCTCAATAATAGAATAAGTGTTCTGGAGCTACTAGTGGCAGTGTAGCTAATAAGGCTGTGCAGTGAGTTCGGTTCAAAAGCAGAAGGTGCTTTAGAAGGCACAGACATTCCCACAGCATCTCTCTGGAACTCCTTAAAGCAGCTGCATCAGCATGGCTGTTCACCGGAGCAGAATCTCAGGAAAAGACCCATTTGGTTTAGGGACTTGGAGACAGACACTAGGTATATGTCCCTGCCGGGGGTGTCCGCAGAGTGTGGCCAAGAAACCAAGGTGGTGGCTGCAACAGTGTGGTCAAAGCTCTCTGTTTTTTAGGTGCATTGCATGTGCCATCTTGACTATTTTGGCCAAACCCTGCAGATACCCCTGACCCTTGCACACACCAACACACCTCTTTGCCTTCAGATCCGAAATGCTCTATGGCCAAGTTAGTAGGTCAGACTATCTCTCTTGATCCAGAGCAGCTGCCAATGTTATCAAACACTGGCTTGCCTACTCACTGACCATACTTATGGACCGCTGACTGCAACAGACTCACGGCAATTTACAACACATCAAATTCATAAAAGCAAATATTAAAAGTTTTCCCCACACCCAAACACACCCAAATCCTGATGAGAGAGCAATCCTGTGTAATTCACCCACCAAACACAGTTGTCTTCTGAACCACCGCAAGGGAGGGGAGGGGCACAGAACACAAAAATCCCCTTGCTCCTCCCCTCCTCCCCAAATCTCGTGGAAGGAAACTCTATTACACATATAGGTTGGGTTCACACATCACACTGAGCCAAAACCAAACAAACCACTTTATGATTTAACATGCTATGTGAATCCTGTCTTGGTTTGTAGCTAGCTTGCTCAAGCATTAAGCTGTCTCTGGGATGTTGGCAAAGTCCCTCTGCTCAACTAAACCTGCCTTAGAAGGCTGCAGTGGTGAGAACTGGTTTGGTGTACTAGTTAAGGCACTAGATTAAAAACTGGGAGATTATGAGTTCTAGTCCTCCCTTCAGCATGAAAGTCAACTGAGTGATCATAGGCCAATCACTCACTCCCAGCCCAGCCCACCTCACAGGACTGTTGTTATGGGGAAAATAGGAGGAGAGAGCATTGGGTATGCAGCCTTGAGTTGTACAAAATGTACGTGGAATATAAACCTAATAAATACATACATCTGTGAATTGATCTCATGGCTCTTTACTACTGAAAGTGATTGACTTTGGTGGATCTTGAGCCAAGTAAACATTATTTAAAATGGCTTAAATGCAGGGGACCTACAGCATAGACATATATAAAATTGCAGAGTGAAAGCTTTACCCTTAAAAACTTGGAGCCGATAGTAATGCCTACTAAACACACTGGCCCTGTTTGTGCAACACACTTCAGCCAGCCACTAAGTTCCTTACCAGGGTTCTGGTAATACAAATTTACACTAAGTCAAAAGTCCCCATTTTGAGAATACAGGTAATCCTCATTTAGTGACCACAACTGGGACATGCACAACTTGGTCATTAAGCAAAGTGGTCACTAAGTGAAACCACAACTGTGCTTATGAACTTACTTCAGCTTTCCTTTGCTTTACAGACCTGTGAAGGTTGTAAATGCAAGGATTGGCCGCAAAGTTACTTTTCACCAACGCTGAAACTGCGAATGGTCATTGTATGACAGTGTTGCTCAAACTTGGCAACTTTCAGACATGTGAACTTCAACTCCCAGAATTCCTGGAAGGAGAATGCTGGCTAGGGAATTCTGGGAATTGAAGTCCACACATCTTAAAGTTGCTAAATTTGAGAAAGACTGCCATACGAGGCAATTGCTAAATGAGGACCACCTGTACAGAGTCCCTGTTCACTTGCTTCAAAAAGTGAGGACTACCCTACAGTATGAGCCCTTGTGCAGGAGAATATTGCCAAGGCTTCATGGTAACACTTCCCTTTCTCCATTTCTCAGGCAGATCTAAAGTTTGCTTAGTTTAGCAGCTGGCATCTATGTGTGTTTTGACAGATATATTCTACTGCCTTGGCAGTGAGTTGAATGGTAGATGGGCTTCCTTTTTTCAGCTGCTCTTTCTCTCCAACTCTTTTTCTTGGAGGACTAGATAGGCAAAATAGAGCAATTGAATGGGTTTGGAATATTCCACAGTGCTATTGTCTAAGTGGAATTAATTTAACTCTACTAGACAGATTCTATTTGGAACTAGATCTGACCCTGGGAGTTAGCTGACTGGATCAACTGATCCCTCTTTTTGTATTCCCATGATATGATAACCAACCTTCCCATTGATGCATATTGTGCAAACAGGGCCATTTAGTGGGATTTACTTCTGAACAAACATGGGCTGAATTTACAGTGGACCTAACTTGGCTACTGATTTAATCTATTTTCTGGTTTTGCACAAGATACTGAACCATAAACAAACTGAACAGATTGAGTTCACCCAAGACAGGAAGAATAAAAAAAATCCAGCCATTGCACTAACCATATTTAATATGTGCTACAAATACAGTAAGTCTGTTTGATCTAGTTAAGCACGTTGTATGAAAAAACCATAGTGTACAGTATCTCTCTCTTTTCTTAAAAGAATATCTCTCCTCCCCCACTTACCACAGTGGCGTTCACACTTCACTCTGTCTGAGAGAGAAGACAAAAAGATTTCAGTAATTGACCAGGCTGAGGCATTCAATCCATTCATTCTGCACTCCCTTGCAGATCTACTCAGAAGTACAGTAAATCCCACTGCAGCTTTTAAAATCTTTGGATAGGTAACCAAGGAGCCCCTCAACAGGCAGAAGACCCATTACAGGTAGTCCTTGCTTAATGACCACAATAGGGACCAGAAAATTAGTTAAGTTGGGTGGTCATTAAGCAAGGCATCACGTGACTGCACGCAATTTTACCACATTTTTTGTGGCAGTCATTAAGCAAATCACTGTGATTGTTGAGTGAATTACATGGTTCCCCACTGATTTTGCGTGCCAGAAGCCAGCTGAGAAGGTCGCAAATGGCGAACACATGACCCTGGGACACTGGAACCGTCATAACTGCGAGCTGGTTGCCAAGTGCCTGGATCACAATCATGTGACTTCAGGGGCCCTGTGATGGTCATAAGTGTAAGGACCGGTTGTAAGTAGCTTTTTTTAGCACCATCTTCAAATGGTTGCTAATGAATGGTTGTTAAGCGAGGACTGCCTGTATTTTCAATTCATTTATCAGAGTTATGTTCAATAAGTTTTGTCTTGGAAGAGGCATTCTCGCCAGCTGCCACATCAAAAGAGGTTTTCATTTTTGAAGAATTATTACCACTTACCCTACTAAGGGAAGCATACCCACAAGGTGCCCTCTTAGAAGGAGCAGACCAGCAACCCATCTTGGAAGATTCCACTGGGCTGGCATTAGAGGATGCCCCATTTTAGAAGAGGCATCTCTATTTCCTGGTCCATATTAGAGTAGGCATTGTCTTGGAAGAGGCATTCTCATCAGCTATCATCACCAAACTAATTCAGAACAGATCAGGGAAAGCTCACTTTCAATTATGGTGTTCCGTAGCATTTTGACTTGTTCTTCAAAAATAGAGTTCAGGATTTCTGGAAGAACACCTGGGGAAACCAAGAGATCCAACAGGTCAGAGACATGAGAATGAATGGGGCTACAGCTTTGCACGAATGCAAAACCAAACCCCAACATTGTCAACTGCATTCCAGTGCATGTATGTTTGGGAACAGTAAAGTCTTAGTAAATAGGCAAAATATATCCAGATCACAGGGTT